AGAGCAAAACTCAGGCACAGCAACAGCAGCCTTGAAAATCCTCTAATAGTGTGTAGATTCTTGACCAGTGATGGTGAACCTTTTGAGTACCTAAATTGCAACCCAAAACCCACTTAGTTGTCACAAAGTGCCAACACTGCAATCAAATATGAATACTCAGGTTTTAGTTTAGAAAAAATAACGTACATATTAACATCTGTTGTCTTAAAAGAAATCAAATAACACATGTGCCATAGGCTCGCAGGCCCTGTTTCTAGATCCTCCTCCTCCCAAAGGTTCTGATTCAGGTCTTCAATCTGCACTTTTTTTTTTGGTACTGGGGATGGAACTCGGGTCCTTGTGCTTGTGGAGCAGCGGCAGAACCACTGAGCTAAATGCTGGGCCCCTTGCAATCTGCATTTTTAATCACTCTCATGCTTCTGAGGGAGCTGGTGGTCTTATATATATATATGTATATTGGGGGGGGGGTACTGGGGATCGAACTCAGGACCTTGCACTTGGGAGGCAGGCGGTGGCACCACTGGGCTAATTCCCCGGCCCTGGTCTTACCATATTTTGAGATAAGGGATCTAAACAATGCCAACCACTTATATATAAAATAGGTTACTTAGGCAACTGATGTTCATATGTACCTTACATATGCCTTGTCAAATGTTTTACACAACCATGTATAGAATGGTATCTCTCAGAAGTCCTGCCACTCTGGAGCTAAGGTTAAATTCAGTATGTCCTCCATTTCAGTGGAAATCCATAATCCCTAGAGCAAGCTTCAAGTCCTCAAATCTCAAGCATCTTTAATTCCTATCAAAGCTAGCCACCACCAATCATTGCTTTTTCTTCATATACTTTTTTGTGGAGACAAGGTCTTGCTATGTAGCTGACTGACCTCAAACTCATGATTCTCCCGGTTCAGCCTCCCAAGCACTGAAATTACATGTGTGTGCCACCATGCCCAGCTGCCGATGGATCATTTCTCACTGCTGCCTGCTCCATCTGGATATTAAGCTTGCTACACTTCCATTTGTTTCCTCAGGTCCAGGACATCCAAGCAGTACTTTAGGGTTAGGAAAGTGACCACAAATGTACAGACCTGTAGTCCTGTATCTCAGTGCCCCACAATGTCTAGAAACCAAAACAGTTTTCTGTTAGCACTGTTTGTAATACAATGTTAAAAATAATAGTTTCGGATTACGACTGTGCCACTTTCTATGTGCATGACCTTGGACAACTTAACCTTTTGGAAGCCTCTTTACCCGTGATTCAACTACTTTACAGGACTGTGATTATATCGTTCATATGAGCATATACAGAGATTCTGAATTGTTCTTGGTACACAGTTGTACAGCAAAAACCCTGTCTTCCCCATTCACCATCTTACCTGCAAAGCACCAATAGCTGCACTCTGGAAGCGCAGATCTGTTTTGAAGTCCTGAGCAATTTCTCGCACCAGACGCTGGAAAGGGAGTTTGCGAATCAGAAGTTCAGTGGACTTCTGATAACGTCTAATTTCACGGAGCGCCACAGTGCCAGGCCTTAAAAAAATAAAAAACCAACATTCAGGAAACTTACCAGATACATACATAATACAAAAGGATAACTGGTTATAAAGAAATGCATTAATATTTCAAAAAATCAGCCACCCAACTATTCTTCAGCCTTCAGTTTCAAATCTGATGAATTTATGGCCTGACCGTTCGAATCTGTTTTGTTTTGAGACAAGGTCTTGCTATGTAGTTCTGTCTGGCCTTGAACTTGTGGGGACCCTCCTGCCTGAGTCTCCTGAGTGCTGAGATTATAGGTGTATGTCACCACACCCAGCTCAAGTCTATTAAGAGTAATACCCAGCTGGGCTTGGTGGCATACCTTTATAACCCCAGCACTATAGGAAGCTGAGGCAAGAGGTTCCAAGTTTGAGTCCAGCCTGGGCAACTTAGTAGTGAGAACTTATCTTGAAATTTAAAGTAAAATGAAATAAAATAAATAAAAAAGGGCTGGGATGTAACTTGGTGGGAAGGCCCTCGGTTTAATATCCAATAATAGAAGAAACAAAGTAACACCACCTTTAAAGCAAAAAGCATGAGGGCCGGGGATTTAGCTCAGTGGTTTCGCCGCCTGCTGCGCAAGCACCAAGGACCTGAGTTCGATCTCCAGTACCAAAAAAAAAAAAAAAAAAAGGCATGAAATGACAGGGAGCTTATCAAAGCCCTGTATGCCTTTAAAGATTTGCCAATATAGCACCATGTGCTTCACTTAAAAAGTTATCATATTTAAGCTTGATTTTCCAGAACAGCTGCACTGTTGACTATCATCTTTCATAAATGACTAAATTTGAATACTTATGATTTTTTTTACTAACTTGTCTATAAAAGAATTTAACCTTTGACTTATTCTACTGTATGAGCTTTTAAGTTAAACTCTAAAATCTGTAGAGCCTGAGTGCGGATAACTTCTGCCCCCTAATGGCAGATGTCCTTAACAACACTGCTTAGGTCAAAATCAAATGCTAATAGAGGAAATAAACTAAACAAGTAACTGAAGGATAGGGACTTTATTACCTCCGGATCTTGATTATTATTTTACCATAAGCAAAAGGATATCCTGAAAAGTGTATTGAAAAAACACTTTTACTATTTAAAATAATTACTAATAGCAAATTAGAACGGTTATGTATCCCATTAACATTATCAGTGAATGGGCCAGGGATTTATTAGCTCAGTGGTTTCGCCGCCTGCCTCACAAACACAAGGACCTGAGTTCCATCCCCCGTACCAAAAAAACAAAACAAAACGAAAAACCCTCCAAAAAAACATTATCAGTGAAAAAAAATTATCAGTGATATTACGTCTCCTTAGGCCAGATTATGGGTTCAAAATTAAATAAAACCTGACACTAAATTACATACATATGTATATATATAAATATCTAGTCCGAGTAGTCAGAGGGGAAAACATTAGTTTCCCTAAAGCAAAAAGTCTGACTTTTAGCGCATCCTTTTGTCAGAATATATGAATATACCAGAGAAACTTTATCCCATTTTCTCCTAATACCTGTAACGATGAGGTTTCTTCACCCCTCCAGTAGAGGGCGCACTCTTGCGAGCGGCTTTTGTAGCCAGTTGTTTCCTGGGCGCTTTACCACCAGTGGATTTGCGGGCAGTCTGCTTTGTACGAGCCATGGTACAGGGACCTCCTTACTGACACACCAGCATTAAGAAAGAAAAACAAATCACCATAAGCAACTATTAAACATGGAAGTTTTCCTGCCACTGATACCCGCTCCTCCTAAATCTGGAAACTATGACCAGTACAGAAAAAAAATAAAGTCCATAATTGTTACATAATTTGAAAGGATGCAGATCGCGTCTGCCTTCTTGAAACAAATTGTAGTACTGGAAAATTGTTAGCATTAACACCAATAGTCTCTCAAAATGCCAATTTCTAAGCGACAAACGGGAAAGACCTCTAATACCCTTTGATCCGCTTTAATTAGAAATATCAGTACACATTCGATCCATAAACAAGTAAAAAGAAGGAAGCCACACACCATCGAAAGATCAAGTCAAATTACAGCAAAAAAGGTTTCCGACTCCCCCACTGCCCCTACCCCGGCACCTGGCAGTCGATAAGATTGCTGTAACAATATATGAAAACATGGTTTTTGCATTTTCAGTTGTACTGACAAAAGAGTCCCGAAAAACAGGAACAAGCTACAAAGCACCGCGCTCTCGTCCAGCCCTCACAGGCTTCGTGATGCAATAAAGTGCCCCGCACCTAAGCTTAATTAACGCGACACCGGCCGCCAGGTCCACCAAGGCTCCGCATAAACTTTTGGTTCGGCCTCCGCGGGCCCGGGCCCGGGGCCCCGCCGCCTCGCGCGGTCACCACCGCCGCCCCAGCCCGAACAAGATGGAAACAATCGCGACACGGATCCGGTTCCCTTCAGAGACAAAACACCAAATCGCTCGAAAATATCCGATCCCGCCACGTGCCGCCTTCCAAAATGCAAAAGTTTTTTTTTTTTGGACATTTCCAATGCTTCAAGTTTCTGCTTCTCCAAAAAAGGGAAAAAATGTCATTCTTTTAAAAAAATTTTCCTCCCTTTTTAAAATGGGGAAGAGAGAAACGGGAAAAATATGGTCGGTGACCAGAGAAGAGAGACAAGATGGTGAAGCTCAGCAGCAACTGTGGAGAGGCAGCAAAGCGCGAGTTACCCCAGGCTGGGAAGCGGCGACCATTTCCACCGCTTTCCCGCCCGAAAACGGCGGCCCGGGGCCCCGCGGGTCCTGGTGGGGGTCTGGGGTCCGAGGAGGGGCAGGCGGGCGGGCTTTCGTCGAAGAAAGAGCAGCCCCGGCGCGGAGGCGGAGGGAGCGCAGGCTCGGCGCCGCGGCGGCGGAGCTGGGCAGAGCCGGGAGCCGGGAGCCGCCGCTGTCGGGGAGCAAACTCGCTCCGCACCTCCATTTCTGGGCCAAAAAGTTTGTGCACCAAGCCGGGGGGCTGTGGGGCCCGTCCCCGCACCGCCAAGGCCCAGCGCGGGGCTGGAGGCGAGCGGGATTCGGCCAGGGGGAGCGGGCAGACGGGAAAACTTACCCCCCTTCTCCCTCGGCTGGAGCTCGGCGAGCTGGAGGCGGCGCTGGCGTTGGAGAGCGGCGGCGGCGCGGCGGCGGCTGCGAACACAATTGAAAGATGGCTGACGCCGAGGCTAGCCCCCGACACGCGCGCCCCGCCCCCGCGCCGCGCGCCAGCCAATCACACACAATGGAGGGAAGGCTCGGCCCCGCCCCCAGCCTGCGGGTCGCGTCCCGCCCCCGCCCTTCCCCCCGCGCGCCGGTTCGCTGGC